ATGCAACCGAGTTTCCTGTGACACCACCATACCTGTATTGTTGGGTTCCCTTTGCTGCAAAATGTTTGCTAGACGAACAATTTTTCCGAGAAGTGATCTTATATTGCTAGACAGCATCGTTGGAATTTGCTCCTTGTTAACGGGACAGCGTTTGTTTCCTACTTGCCAACCAGATCGATGCTTTTTCTTTTTTCCTGCGCTTTTCTTCACAATTCTTTCGACAGTTTTTTTGGCGTTGTGTCCGAACTTAACAGGAATTGATTTTTTCACATTGTTTCGAGGGTGACTCAAATCTTCTTTCGAGCATGACAACATTGGTCCTTCGGACCACAGCCCGGCAGTCGGGATGCACCAACTGACACCAATTTCGAAGTAAGGATTTTCATTCGTCTTGACCATGCCATTGCTTGGCCTCCCCTTCTCTTCCATCCTGACCCCGGGGGCGCAAACAACACGTCACGGGAGTCGGTGTGCTGTCATGCGCCACGCGTGACCCAGTCATCGGTCTCTGGTGCGTGAAATAATGGAGCTGAGCGCTTCACTCGCTCTTCGTGCACTAAATAAACGACGCCGAACGCACTCATTATTCACACCCTGCTTCCACTAGACCTTAGCTAAACTGCGATGGTCTTACGTAGCCAGCCTCTTTATATCTGCCGACCTGATAGGCCAGGTTTCACAGCCGTATGGGAGGGTTGAACAGACGGCCACATTGTAAACTCTCCCCCTCATGGCTCTGGTGATGTCGCATCGGCGCCACAGATGGCGGAGATTGCCAAAAGCATTTCGATCTTTTGCTATATTGTTCGTGACCTCATCTTCAATCCCACGAGCGGTAGTACGTTTGCCCGGGTACTTGAATTGTTGAACGAGTCCTAGCTGATAACTACCGAAGGCCAGCTTAGGGGTAGGTCACTATCAATCTTGGAGAAAGACTGCATTTCGAGGGAGCAAAGCATAGCCCTAAGCGATTGACAGCCGCTGCTGCTTGGCACGTTTGAGCGCTGTCACAGATTAGAGCAATGTCTTCAACATAATCCAAGTCAAGAATTTGCTCACCAGGAAGAAGTTACCTATCTCGTAGATCATGTCCAACGAGCGCTGTTTCCGTGACTTCGTTAATGGCGAAGTTAGAGAGGAAAGGTGACTGTGAGCAGCCTTGTCTCTCACCGCTGCAGATACTGAAGGGCGGTGAAATTTTGCCATAAACCCTCACTCTGCCCCTACTATGCGCCTACAGCGCTTTGAAAATGGTTACCTATTTTTGTGCACATATTTCCTGAGCAGAGAGTCTCAAAGGGCACATCGATCCACTTGATCAAAGCACCTTTCATCGAGAAACAACTACAGCGGTTCGCCAATAAATATGGCGATGCACCAACAATTGACGTAAATAAAGACATGATCGATGCAGTCCCAATTTCGACGAAATCCGGCTTGCTGCTCGCGAATTTGACTTTCACGGGTGCCAGTCGTTCTGTGGAGAACGACAGGCGCAAGCAAATAAGAGGTCATTGAGCTCAGACGGATTCCTCTATAATTGCCCCATTCGGAGGTGGTTGAGGTGCTTGATCATTTCAATTATCTTGGCAGCTGCATCAGCAACAATGGGCGCATAGAAACTGACGTCAGCTCACGCATTGCAAAAGCCAGAGCTACCTTCTTGAACCTGCGGCATCTTTGGCAACAGAAGGGTTTCCCTCCGTCTGAAAGGCCGTGTATACAAGGCCACAGTGAGGGCCGTTCTGCTCTATGGTAGTGAGACTTGCCCCTTCGGTCTGACAATCTGAGGCGCCTTCAAGTCTTTGATCATCGTTGTCTGCGAAGCATTGCTGGTGTCGAATGGCACCAGCGTGTCCGCAACGATGACGTTCGTAGGCGAGCACTAGGTAGTGGGAATCATGCTAGCTCCTTAGAACAACAGATAGCACTGAATAAGTTGCGTTGGCTCGGGCACGTGTTACGTATGCCTGGTCACCGCTTACCTAGGAGTGCCTTGTTTAGTCTGCCAGGTATAGGGTGGCGCAAGGCTCGAGGTGGACAGAAGTTGACTTGGCAGCGGGAAATGAAGTCACTGACGACCAAACTGGGTGCCGTTGGTCCGTCTCGCCTTCCGGGCCTTGTGCTGGGCTCGAGACTTTACAGGATATATCTCGCAATAGACACCAGTGGCGTATCTGCTGGCGTCTCCTAATCGGATTGCCTGTTTAAAGTGTGTTTGGTGCTGAGTTATCTGCGGGGTAATGGCTGATTATGACTCGTGGTAGTGAAAGCCGCAAGGAAGCTGTCTCACTGATTCCACCTTATCTTTGCACGATAGCCAGCTGTTTGTGACGGTATGTTGTCTTCACAAGGTGTAGGCGCCTTAACCCTGAATGTTTGCTTAGGGCATTAAGGTTTTCAGGTAAGTCCCCCTTCTCTCCCTCCTATTATTTTTGATTCTTAAGGTCATCATGGTTGTATGGCAGCGAAGCATCAGTTCAGTGGCTGATGTACTGCTGTTGATGATGATGATTATACCCCATTCGGAACGGGAGCCTTCCTTGAAAATTGGGACTATGTCAGAGCGGCTCCAATCTGTTAGGCTGTTTCTTGCTTCCCCGCCCAGTTTCATTAGGAACTCGTGTAAATCACCTACAAGAGCAGGTCTACCGAATCTGAAGAGGGCTGGGGAGTTCTATCTTCCGCTGCTGCCTTATTCAATTAAAACAGTCTGACCTCACGTTCGATTTCTGCGCGTGATAGCGGATCCAAGGAAATGGTTCAGGGAAAAGCGTAATTAATACCTGAAAAAGAACTTGATAACTCAGATTGTTTAAATTGCTTTACAGAGTGTTCGGCCCAACGCTCCAAGCGTTTTGACAAGATGGGGATCGGCTGTCCACTCTCGTTGCGTATGGCCTAGCTAACACTAAGTCTCCTGCTGCCCGTTTCTCATATCAGCGGAATAACTTTCGATGATTACCAGCGTCAGCAGATGTTTCTATTTCCGGGGCCCAGTAAGACTACCAGGCTTCGTGGTCTCTCTTCAGGCCAGCACGCAGTTTTTCCCTGAGATTTTTGCGAGTCTCATTGTATTCGCTTCCAGTCGGAATACGTCGGCGAGCATCCATAAGTTTTAGAGACAGTGTAGAGATCCAATGTCTAGGTTGGTCATTTGGTTTTTCGTTTCAGAAATTTAAAGCAGTAAATGCCCTTCAATAATTTGATTTGTCACACGAAGACATGCTTACTGATGGTTACATCTGGCGAATATGCGACCATTGATCTTCGACGGTGTTCAGTAGGCGTTTACTCATCCCTGATGCCAGCGTACTTTGATACGCAGTCAGAACACCTGATTTCGTCAGTTGCCTGATGTCTACGCGCTCAGAGTGACGTTTCGGACGTCCGCTGAAAAGCACCCTAAGTCGCCACACGCAAGAGCATGATCGGAGTCTACGCTTGTGCTCCACATCGAGCAACAGTTTTGGAGACACCTTCCTCAGCTGCTACTGATCTCGGTGTAATCAATTTGTGTCCATGGCTTCTCCGGGACTGGCGGGCGCCAACTCACTCTTCTATGAGCCTTGTGTCGAAAATTAGTACTCGTGTGAAAGAGATTAGCATTCCGCCCTATTTCAACCTCCCAATTCTTGGCCTTCCCATATCTCGCTTCAACAGGCATTAGTCTTCTAGTTTCCGCCCAGACGCAATCGTAGGGCGTCACTCCGATCGAATTCACAAGTCTCTGTTCGACCAAGCGGACGTCAATTCAACCGTTTCTATTTGGAGCCCTTGATCCTCGTTAAACCTAGCACACGTCAGCGTGCACACTTTGTTACAGCTTGGCCAACGAGCTGCACTTACTCGAAAAATAGAGGCCGTATCGATCGATGTATGCTGTTCCTCGAAAACCCGTCTGCATGAGAGGATGCCAAGTGATGACTTGATCAAAAGGAATGAGGACTCTCGTTTCAAACATGGCTTCGGTTTGTGTCTGCCGTTGGGGCTAGAAAGACGGTGGCTGCGTTTAGTTAGTGTGTTTTGTTGACCTGACGAATAGCTGACCTCAATCGTTTTGTATAGTGAGTTCCTTTGTCTCTTCCTTAGCCTTTCCGTCCAATCACGATCTTATTATCCTAGCTTAATATTGTACTAAGCAAGACTTAACGTTTTTACGCCGTAATGTTTTCTGTCTCGTTTTTCTTATATCTTATTGTGGCACCAAAGCCGAGGTGTTCCCACCTTCAGCTAACCTGTGTTGATGATGATGCTGATAATAATAATAATAATACTACTAATAATAATAATAATAACGATTGTTCATTTGTTCTCCGAGCTTGGCGGTTTTCTCGCAAACGTTTCACCACCATGCGATGTGACATCCTCAGTGCAGTGCTATGTAGCGTACAAGCTTACTAATAATAACGAAAATTGTGAGCACGCTGACCCCGCTGTACATACTAAATGTCGAATTCATAGTTCTGTATCCCGGTCACCAATTTACTGTTGAACTGGCTGCAAGTGCCTAACTACGTATCAGGGCCATATACCCGCTGGAGCCATGGATTTAGGATGAATACCAATCGTGGGAGTACAATTAAGCAAGGCGCACGCAGTACAGTGGATACACGCCAAATAACAATCTGTTGGGGAAACCAACGAACATTTAGTGTCTTCGTTCAAGGCTACCATGCAGTTACGTTACCGGCGAGTGTCGTGTCCTGTTTAAATAAGCTAACTCGAATGTTAAACTGTGAGTTACCGCAATTTATGATTTCACTATTAACAGTTTGGTATAATGGTTTACATTTAATTGTGGGTTCCTCCAGGGCGATTGTTCTATCTTTTTCGTGTACAGTGAATTCTCCATCATTTTCACGTCGCTTGCTTCATCCTGGTCACAACAATTTTTACTTATCAGAAGTGCTTTTCAAGTCTTTACTATCAGACCTAGTTCGCTGATCCGCTCTTTGTTCCATCCTCTACGTGCTTCATTTGTCGCAACGATATCACAGGTAATCGAGATCGGTTCTAGATGTCCGCTTGTATACAAGGGATCAATTTGCCGCAACATCTCCATCGATTTACCAAATACATTGGATCGATTCTCTGCTGGCGTGTCATGTTCGGGCGAAGAGCATGATCCTCGGAATCGGATTTCTCCACAACCCGTGGAGTCACGTCACCGGGTTGGACCTGGCCAAGCTTATGACCTGGCTGCTCATGGTAACTCCCCGCCCCATAGTGGCAATGAGCCTACTGGAGGTCAGTTGATTTCGTTGCTTATGACGGTAACAATGTTGTTACTTTCCATTGTCCCTTCCAACACATTAATGCGACTTTCTTTAACCGAATGCTCCTTATTTTTTGCTCACTGTATACTCTAATCTTGTGAATATCACCACTTTGTATAGATGTCTCGATGCTTACGTACTTTTCTTCATAGCCAAACACCTTTAGACTCACAGTAGGTCAAACGATCTGTCTTAGTTTGTCACATTCCATACTGCCATCGGGAATTTCATGGAGTCAACCCGTATCGCCGTTATTGGCCGATATCTATATGAAGGACTCTGAACGCACAACACTGACGAACTCCAGTAGTTCACCAAATATTTGGTGCTGCTACGTAAGTAACACTTGTGAATATGGTGCCATCAGAATCATGGCGGAATAAGAAAACCAGATGCGGATGGGAAGAAAAAAGACACACAAGTTTGCTACTGCTACTGTTGAACCTTGTGAAGTTGTCTCCTGCCACCTGTAGGCATTGCCATTGATAAAAGTTCCACGCAGCACCAACGCCACTTTGAGCCTACGAAGTGCACCCGTTTGTCATTGAATCACCTGCAAAATCATCTACGAGCTCACTGTTCTTGTGCTACCTATGTAGGCATGCGCTTTGGTTTATACCCAATACTGCACTCATGCTTTGTTTTAAATCCTCTGTAAGTCTTTGTCACTTATGCGCTACTGACTGGTTCGGCCTCACTATACGGATCGTCATTATATTTTACTGAAATCTTTTCTTTTGTCCCCTTCACAGTTTCTGGGGAGGTTACTGCCGCGCACCAAATTTTACCTTTGTTCTTGAACTCGGATCACCTGTCATACACAAAGCCAATGGTTGACTGTATCTCACCTGTTCGTTTAAGTGTTCCTGACACTCAGATCAGGCAGTCTCGCGTGCGTTCGGCTAGCGGCTTCTCCGAGGATCGCCCCAACCGTGTGATTTCGCCCATTGGTAGTCGGCGTCCGTACATGAGTACTTCCATGAGTGTCAGCAGTAGTTACACGGGAATGTTTACCAGTCCAAACAGTGGTGCGTGTGCCGCTGATTCGGAAAATCGCCCAGATTCTGGTCGTCGACGCACGGTAAGTACCGGTGCTCAGCCGGTCGGATCTAGCTCTCCAAACGACTTGGCCGTTGAAAATTCAACAAACCGATCGACCTGTCCTAGTTGTGGATTCGGTCTAGCCGAAAGTGAATTGAAGCGTCGTGAATGGATGAGCGGAATTCATGCTCTCACGTACTCGAAAACTGACTCTATTTGTTGTCCGATTGATGGGTGCGTCCGCGTTTGTCATGGACGTGCTGATTTATCTGCCCATCTAACCAGCAGCCACTTTCCTGAAGGTGAGTTGAGATTACATCTGCAGCGCTTTTTGTTACCCTTACTGCTTCTTCCCATTCGCATGTTCACAACCTGGCGTATCACCTCCCAGGTCGCCAACTTCAATGCGCTTGATCCGAGAGTATACGAGCAACCACCACATCTATTGCAACCTCTTGTTTGACGGGCCCCTTGCGCGCTACACAGTAATGCGCTGACAGTGTCATCTCGGTTGATGAAACGTTTGCAACGAATTTGCTTGACTTAGCTTACGATCGGATTACCTATAATTATTTTTATATTTACTTTGGATTTTCGTCAAGGTTAGTGGGTCCATTGCACCTTGGTGTGCGGATCAACTTTAGCGAAGTGAACTGCGACAATCATCCTCAGGTGTTGAGCGCCACTTTTGATGCATAAACATATCACGGCTTTCGTTTAATTCCTGTTTAATCCCTTTAGCACCACAATTTCCTTCGGTGGCACTGCATTAGCACTAGTTGCTGTTGTGCTTTGTCATTTTGCAACCCTCGCCACCTGTAATTCCCAAAAGGGATTTAGACCACATTCAGTGTATCCCCACCTTGTTTTCTAATTTAGTGCTTAGTGCATATCATTAACCTTCGTTTTTTATGTAACATTATGCAATAGTGGGAAGACGAAAGCCAGTCAGAACTTGTGTTTCTCCCACCTTTCTTATCTTTTCGGGTTGCCCTTCACTTTTTTACCAAGAAATCTGATCTGGTTTCCTGTACATCGAACACCGCATCAACTAAACAGAGAGTTCTTCCAGAATATTCGTCTGATTTGTACCGCTGAATCTGCATGCCAATCAACACTGCTTCAATTTGGCACACACGGTATTTTACCTGGCTATCACAACCATGTTTAATGTACGAAAACGAGCTGTGTCATATAGGTCTTTCCTCCCATGGGACAATCGTTTGTTCCTTTGCGTCTTGCGACCGAGACCTCACCATCCAGCACTGTGATAACGCCCAACAAATCAGGTAAACAAAACACAAGTAATTAAATATTGCTTGCTCTTAAAATAAGTGGTTTTCAATAATCGCTAGGGTTAGTTTGTTTGACAGACTTGTTGGGATGCTGTAGCAAATAGTAAGAAACTCCCGTCGCTGATCAGAACCGAGCCTTACCAAATCAAAATTTATTGGTAATTCACCATCGAATACATCATAGAATCATTGGCAAATAACTACTTCAATGCATTCGCATCGGGTCCTGAAGCTCACTTCGCTCACAAATCCTTTTCACCAATACTCTGATTTCATCCTGCTCTTGAGGAGATACACGATACAAGTGCCATTCCTTCTTACATCGCCATTGGCTAGCTTCATTTTTGTGCGGGGGCACATACTAACACTTGTTTTTGCAACAAGCAGCGAACACCTTATCATCTGTTCATGATCTTACCCTCCAGTGTTGGCTACATACACTACCAGCATTCTTTCACTGTTACCCGCTCTCATATATTACCATTTATATCCATTCTTTACTTTCCCTCTTATTTTGCTCAAGCGATGCTTACCCCAACCTTGACATAGTAGTCACTCGTTAGTACTTCTGGTGTCTTGTAACCCGGCATTATCATCAGCTTGCCCTTCACGTCTGTTACGTAGGAAAACACTCATGCTTCGATACCACTTATCTCTTTCCGTTACTCCTCCTTTTTGGAACTGTTATCTCATTCGCTTTGAGCTCAATATTTTCTCTATTTGTCATGGTGCAAGTGCAGGGTTTATTAGTCTCTTTTCCTTCGTTTTTTAGTGAAAAACCAACTAGTCCGTCTCATATTCGCTTGCCCTGTCAAGGATTGTCACATGGTGTGCTCAGACGAGAAAAACTTCCAGGCACATTTCAATCGGCACCTGTTCGGCTACTTACCAGGGGATTTGACTGAACTCTTCCCGCTGTCGTTCGTCCCTTCTTGTCTTACCGATGAATCCAAATCTCGGTTTTCTGACGATGCTTCTCCTGTTAAAGCCAACGCCACAGTTCATGAGCCTCCATCACAGTTGCAGATTGAAAATCTATCTGACCCCGCGTTACTTAAATGCCAGCCAAATGATTCGCCTTTATCCACCTCTAAAATTCTCTCAACCTTAGCGGAGGACAGTCTGGTACCTCAACTCGTTACATTTGGTAATTGTGTGCCAGATATTGATTGTGTACAGCAGCTACGACCTCAGCATCACGCTTTACTCCATTCTATGAGCTCCTCGATGCCAAATGTGCTTGTCTCGACTGATCCTTCTTCATTTGTTGAGTGCACTGAAGTTGCTCGACAATGCGCCCCGATTCAGGAACCTCCCAACCATGTTCAACCTATCAGCACTGATACCATACTCGAGGCACCCAGGAATCGAACCAAGTCTGGAGAATTGTCCGATCTGGGTCTGGTTTCCACACCCGCAACACCCGTCGATACAGGTAAGTCTCGGTATCCTAGGCTCCACACTGACGTGACTACTGTTTTTCCCTCTTCCTCCGGCCTGAAATCGTTGACATTAGAGAAGCTTTACTCAGAATGTGCATTTTTTGCTTCTAAAAACACCCGGCTCGTAAATATTACCAGATTTCGGCTTCGCGGTCAGGTTTTAGACAATTCTACGACCTCTGCTGCATCACATTCCGTGGTCCGATTTTCACAAGGCACTCTGACCTTACTGTTCTGTTTTTCGGAACACCCTGTTGTGTGGGCTTACCTTGACTACAGCCAATCGCAGTATGTGCCTTCTCATCAAATTGCTAATCCTCAACTCATGTATAAGCGATTGGCTTCGCATTGTCACTTCATGATAAGGTACAATAATCTATGATGTGTTTGGAATTTGGAGAAAATACCGTGACTGAGAGTACAGTTACGAGAATCAGTCGTCTTCGTTGCTCAGTCTCATTTTCTGTGACATCACTTTTTGTCAGGGCACGTCACATGGTCGTTTTTATAGCTCATTTCCTTCAACTCTGACCGACATCGCGTACCTACTTGGTTTGACATGTCGCTCGTCACATTAGACTGTCTCCATCAAATATCAGTGGGGTGGGATAAGTCAAGTCACCAATAGCCTTCAAAGTGGTATTTTGATTTTTTATCTTCTGATAGCGCCTGTATTGGTTCCGTTCAAGTTTTCCTCAAATACGCCCTATGGTGAACATGGAAGTGTATCTGGGTCGACCAAACTACCTTACCGTCCACATTTGTCAGACCAATTAGATTGCCTCCAGCCTCGATCAATGGACACGCACTCTCAGGGCGTTCCATAGGTATGCCATGTCCGATCAGTGCATTCTTATTTACCTTATCCACTAAGTCCCATTGGTGGAGAAGTAAAGTGCGTAAATTTTCATTCTTTCAACCTAACTGAGCACAATTGTTCCACCAGCGTCACCAGTCAGCCACAGCCTGCACACCTTTGACCGCTCAAAGTTTGATTGTGGACTACGTGTCACCCTCGAGTGTCTCAGCATCGTTTCCTCACAACGAGGTGGTCGTCCAGTGTTTCATGTGCTCTGTCCCATTAGATCACCGGGGTCCCATGCATGAACAATGTATCGCATCAGGTTGGTACCGAACGAAGAACCGTAAACTTATGGAATACACACCCAGAGAACATAATAGAAGCCGATTCTGTGAAGTGTTTTAAAATGCGTATGGACGATTATTTCGGAAACCTGTGCTTTTGTGAAACGGTGCACATACAATGCAATAAAAGACATCGTGTACCCGGAAATAATGGCACCAATACATTTCCCTAATCAAACAAGGATAAACGATAACCTGACCAAACACTACCGCTTACGATTCGCAGTTAACTGTTTTTGATTTTTCCTAATTCGATAGTTGTACTGAAAGATTTCTACTTGCTCTTAATGCCGTCTCAGTCTCTCAGAACCGGTTATTCCACCATCTTCTATTTGCTGTGTCATCTGGTCATATTGCAAATACGTCTCATTTTATCACAGATGGAGAGCATTCTTTCTGTTGCGTATCGTGCGGCTTCTTGCATTACGTTTCAGTCTGTTATGACTGCGATTCTCTTAAGCGCAATGTTTCCTGTACATAAATATTTTCTTCTATAATAAAGACATAACCCAACGTTCTGTATCTTCGGGATCCACTCATTTTGTTTCTCTTTTCTCATTTTGACAGCTTTTGATGAAACGTGGCCGATATCTCTTTTGGCACATATTCCTTCCAATCCTGTTGGCTTTACTAGTTAGAGCATATCACCTTATTACCCACTATTACTTCTACGTTTTCATTCTTTTTGCCCAGTCACGGCGTTTCGAAGTAGAGATTTCGCTCAGTCACCTCATTGTATAACCCTAGAAACAAGTGGTACTAACTTCCCACGAGTTATTTTCAGACCCTTAATGATTTAAAACGCCCAGTGAACCAATTCACCGGGTTAAAATATCATTTAGGTTATTACCTTCAAAATTTCTTTCACTCTCCCTGCTTACCTGCGCACACTTGTTTATCAAATCCCTTTCCGTCTCGTCCCATCACCGCAGCGCACATGGATCTAACAGACCATCGTAATCTACTGTCCGCATTGGACCTGATTCCTGATGACCTTCTTATGGAGTTATTGAAAGAGGATAGACCCGGTCTTTGGGGGGGAGGATGCGTCAACAACCCTCCGAATTATTCTGCCCCACACGTCTATGAGTCGTCTGATTTCACTCCACCGGACTTCTCGTTCCATAATTCAGGTGAACCCACCGGGTGTTTCAATTCCGCGCTGGCTCACGAGTGCATGTATATAGGGTCCTTGGAAGACCACCCTGATCCGGCCCATGTTACCGATGAACATTTCACATCCATGCAGTCGCATAGCTATGAACCTTATCGGTCATCGGGGCATACATTATCAGATGCTCATTCGCCAGCTCCTAGCTTTACTAGCTGGGTTCCCTCTCCTGTTGTGCATCAGACCTGGTCTCTGGCAGTAGCCAATGAGCGCTCCGTGGATTCAACATCTCCTGGTGAATCTGCAGACTATGCACACGACTGTCCTCTCCATGTGTTATCTGACTTAACTGCTGCATTAATATTACCTGATGTTGAGCGACGTCTGAAAGCATCCATTTCCGCTAAGAGATGGACAAACGTGGCCACCGCGCCTGCTACAACGCCACGATCGAACTATTCAGATACGTCAGGCTCGGCGGTCCAGCATGATTCTCAGACTGTTCGCCACACTTACTGCTCTCAAAAGCGCAGACGCAATGCTTCCGAATCCTCGACAAACGCGTTACCTTGTGGTTCTTCACCATCAAAGTTCCAATCTGTTCAGTTTTCTGTCAGTACGCCGTCGAAATCTATGAAGCATCTTCATTCGGATGTTGATTGCGATTACCGAAGGGACGACCTGGTGAGAGCAGATGAGAACAGCGTGAGTTTTGTTGCTCGTGACTTCATTCGCGTTTACACTCCGTAGCATGCTCCTAGTTTTTTTTAACACAATTCCTTCCTGGCCGCTTAGTCGAACGACGGTTGGTTGATCAGTAGTAGCCAGCCTCCGCACTGGTGTATCCCCACTGATCTGTGTTTTGGACTAAACTTTGCAGTGTCTGCTTGTTTTCATTCCAGCTTTTTGCACCGAAATTGGGTGGATTCGGCTGTTGTAGCGCACACTGGCAACATAGTTGGAGAAAGAATGGTGAGCAGCTTAAAAATGCTGACTCACAGACACATATCCATCGGAAACGAGGTCATTTGTGGAGCTTTGCCATATGTTTATACAAGGCATATGATGAAAAAATTAGTCTATTGTCTCGGCTCCATTGGCATTGTACTTACTGCCTGCCTCCCTCCGCTTTGTATTCTGGTTACAGAGTCTGCTGTTGTTTTGTGGCTTTCCTACTGATTAGTACTCACTCGGTATTAACTAACTGACATTTGCTTTCACTTATCTTCAGAGAAAGCTTGACAGCATCCCGTTGCTTTCACCCAGAACACCTTGTTTGCACATAGACTGATATCTCGGCCCCTTTCGACCCATTACATGCTTCACGGGAATTATCCTCCGACTCTGGGTTGGTGGCATCGGCTTACCACTTATTGTCATCAAATCGGTCACAATTTTCCATTCTGAAGTTTTTTCGGCATCCTAATGCTTTACCACCCATGGTCCCGTTATTTATGAACTGCTCGGCTTTACGCTCTCGTCTCGTTTTCCACTAAACTAGCACCGTATTCTTGTATCCCTAAAATTGCCTTCTATCCGGTCTCGATTGTCTTTTGCACAACCATATTTGTTAATCCATTTGTAAATCCCTCAAGCGAACCTCCATATATTCCCCTACTAGTAATCGAATTGACTAAGGGTCACTTCATTGCGAATCACGGTCCACTTTGAGATTGCGTGTCGTAATCCACTCACACAACGAGCACTTCAAAATGACCCTCCAATCAGTCATTAACCGTTGTGCCAAGTGTTGCTCATCATGAGCCGGTGACTAAAGGGGCAAAGGTCGCGACTAACATCGAATGGTCCCGCGTTCGAAGCCTGCTATCTTCACCTGGTTGAATCACATGTGGACGAAATGCGTCGTAGTCTGCAGTTTTCGAGTGGGTAACACACAATTTCCATATGCTAAAAGAATTCTACTCGACTGGATGCCAATATATTGACGCGTATGTGCGTTTCGACTTTGATCCTCTATTAATGATAATAGACACCGACTACTGACAAGGTGCCTTCCACCGTTTTCGCTTATGCTCCTACTGATTGCATTCCGACGTGTGTCAACATTGATTTATATCGCCGGCTCTCATCTCTTTTACGCACGGCGAAATCACTGACATCGTGATTGTTGCGGTGACTTAAACGCCCAAGGGGGCCGCCTGTCGGACTCGTAGCAACACCTGGGAGACCGATATGGATCGATGCACGCCGAACAGACAACGGCGGTCGATTTCTAAAACTGTGTGTCAACCACTATCTTTATAGTAGCAGCACTGCTTTCAAGCACAAACGTTCACATCGCGTTACCTTGCACCCACTGAATTCCTCGAGGACCTGAACTCCAGTAGCCTATATTGCCATAATCTATAGATACTGCACTTCGGTCCAAGACTGTTGGTCAATTTGGAATACGTACCTAAACTCCGACCGCGTTTTTGTAATCGCATGTCCAGTGCTCACTTTTGCCACTTTTAAAGAGTGCATAACTCCCAAACGATGCCTACACGGGAATAATTTCCGATACTTGTATGTCTGTCTGGATAACTTCCGTTCCGAAGAAGCGATTCATGAAGTTCCATCCGATCGCCTATACATCCGCCATGCTAAAAGTCTTTGAGGGACTACTTACTCTTTGGATCCCAACAAGCCCTCTGACCGTGAACGTATCCCAGTTTACGTGCAGACCCTGGCATTCCATATTGAATGCCTTAGGACACCTTGCTCACTTAATAGCATTTTCATTGGATGCGAATTGCAAGACTGTGCGTCTCCTCTCGACGCTTTTGGAAGTGTCGACAGGTCAGTCCTGCTTAAGCAGCTGTCTTCGAATTATGTTCAACCAGCAGTTTGTAGCCTGATGAGCAACCTCGTCGTAAATCCCTCTCACTTCACCATGCTAAATGATAAAAAATATCCCCAACTCTTTGTCGCGACTGAGATGTCTCACAAGGACTAGTCGTCTCCCAGCTTCTATTCACTTTATACATCGAAATGCTAACAATTTCCTCCAACTTGATTAAATATAAGTACTCAGACGACGTAATTATAGACAGCTTATCCAAAGCAAGTTGTATAAGCTTCAGCAGTGTCCGCCGTCCCGATCTGTATTCTCAACGCTTCTAAATACCACGATGTAATCTTCTCTTTTCTCCCAACTGGCAGACATCCGACTAACAAACGCTTCTCACCACACGGCGATAAGCGACCATAGCATACACTATTAAGTGCCTTAGTGTATATTGATCTGTCTTGGTCAACGCGCGTTGACGAAACGTTCCGTAAGGCACGAAAATTATCATTTTATCCCGTGTGACTCAAAATGCTTTCAGTATCTCGCTTTATAATTTACAACTTCGTGACTGTTTTCTTTTTCATTGGCTACATTGCTCAATTACGATTTTTCCTAATCTTTTACAAAGGGACTTAGCATTGATTGTGCGTTCCATTAACTCATTTCCAGGTGTAGTGGATTGCCCAAAAGTACCAAGTTGACTTCGTCGTTACTAAGCATGTTGATGCGTGTGTCAACTTTTCACTAAAGGTTTTAAACGACCCTTTTCACCCACTTCACGCTGATTTATCAAAAGCTCTCTAAATATAGGGTTTTGTTTTTTCGCACAATATAATGATTCTCTCATCTTACTTCTCCCGTTTTCTTATGGACCCCAAGTAACTTATCGGCATCACGCGTGTACGTTTTTTCAATGAGGCTCACGCATATTTTCACTTTTTTTTACGCTTTGCTTGTAATTCCATGCCCATTGTAATACCTCATTACAGCCGCATTACTCGTGTAAAATGCTGAAAATTTTCTTGACTGGATTCATCGTAAAGCCTATTTTGACTTAACTCTTACTTGTAACTGGTACTCGCAGTTCAACAATATCATGACGAACTGGTCCACCGATTGTTATTGAAAAATGAAGTGGGTGGGCCCAGCACTGGTTGGAATCGTTTATCTTGAGTCTATCATGAAGTATGCTTTTGACACCTGCTGTACACCCAATTTGAGCCTTCCGATCTGTGTTTCGATCTCTGAGACATCTATCAGCTTGATCGGAGCATGGAAACTATTTCCCATGGGTACTGCGTTTCATGGTGTCCGTAACACCCTGAAATGACGTCTGACAAGGAGTCTTCAACTTGACCGGGAACGCTTATGAATGGCAAGGGCCCATGAGCTGGCGAAAGCCAGTGCGAACAGCCGAGTGCTATTCCAGCTCATCCGGAACACTGGTCAGTGAAAACCATCACTCAGTGAGACAATAGCTGAGAATGGTGGATAGTTGATCCCTTCTTAGCCGCATCGAATTGCGTTTTAGGCGGGACGTTTTGAACAGTAGTTCAGCAGGCCTGCTGCGACACTGTCGCTTGCTGTATCACCTGAACCGACCTAGAATTTGATGTAATACCCACCTTTTTTAAGGGATTCAACATGAGGTTTCCGTGTTGAAATGAAACAAGTCACCTGTACCCGACGAACTTCCTCCGTCTTTGCTATGAAATCAGTGTAGTTCTCTGTTGACTACGCTTGCTGTTCTACTCAAGACCACTGGCGATTGTCAACTGTCGTGCTCATCCTCAAAAAGATTTAGCGAACTATGTGCGAAAATCATCGAGTCATTAACCTTACTTCCATTGCGTCAAAACTTCTCAAGAGCACCATATTTCGATTACTTACCGGTCCTATTGGTTCCCACTCACTGAAAACCTGGCTGGGTTCCACCCTGATCTTGATTACATCGACCAAATATTTACTATTCGTCAGATGTTAGAGCAGATACTTACAGAGGACCGCTAATGGCTGTTTTACTTGATGTGACTGTTGATCAAGCCAGCTTGTGGCACTGCGCATCCGTGAGTAGTGCCTGGGAAACTCATTTCGAATCCGAAGTGTCTCCACCGTGGCTTCTGAGGCTCTGTAAAGGTCTACGGAAAGCTATCTCCCTAGTTCTGCACGACAAGTGTAGTTCACCAGGGTTGTCCTATACATCATTTCCTCTTCAACTTTCTGAGCGAAATGCTCATGAATGACTCGGTTATTTTAGACTCCTACGGATTGGAAGTTTTATCGAGTGACTGACAAACCATGAGTATGTGCACGACATAGCTCTCCTCAGGTGGGACGCAGTGGCGATTCAAGTACTACTAAATCGACTGGCGCGAAACTCTGTAGACATCAGCATGTGCTTTGTGCCTTCAATGTGCGAAGTATTATTGCAGGTCTGAAGCGGTACGCCACTGATTTTAGCTGCCAGCGAATAGCCAGTGGATGTATTGGATCGGTTAAGTTACCTTGGTTACGGTGTCATCTCTGGTGGTTACCTCAGTCATTTCCTCAGTTATTTCGCTTATCATCAAAGCCCATGCGCCTTTTCAGAGACTCGACCGCCTGTGGAGACAGTAGGATATCAGCTTGTCAGTGAAAGGTAGGATATATAACCCTACGATCAGATGCTTGGCTAGTTCGCAGTGAACACTTCAAGCGCTTAGCCGTGTTTGATTATCGGTGTTTGCGAAGTATTGCTCATATCTTGTGGGAACATCGGGTGGGCAATGCTGAGCTAGGCCAGTTGGTTTTTTGCAATAAACCTTCTGATGGCTCGCTCGAGTGTTTGCTTAAGCTAAGTCGCTTACGTTGGCCAGACTTTGTCCTCCCTTTGTCTGTCGAGTGGCTTCCTCCGCTTGCATCATATACTGTGGCTGCGCCAAGTTGGCCGAAACCGCGAGGTGGCCAGTCTATCACGTGGCATAGAGGCATGAAGAAACTGACTGAGAGACTTAGTCAGGTAGGTACGTGCCGTCTTCGTGGATTGGACCCGGGATGGTCCACACTAGGGGTATAATACTTTACCAAACATTGCGCAGTCAGACATTCAGTGACGTTCCTGCATTCGATTATCTGCATCATGTTGTTAATCTTCATTCCACGCCGACTCATTTTGTGCTTTTCTGCCCCGGTTCCACTTTTCTGTGTTCTCTTTGCGTTCAAACTCACTTTGTTACCGTTGTTATTCATTGTTATTCTGGGAACTTCAGTCGTGGCAACTGGACCCACCGCACTTCGGTACCCTGCTAGGTGTTCCACTGAATCAAACTTTATTACACCCCGTTTAGTTGGCTTCCTACATTACCTCCGGGAAGCGATGGACACCTATTTGGATAATGACGATGCATATCAATGACCTAGCTGAGCATGCGTATTCTGATTGCGTCTTCCAGTAAGCTTGGCTCTATATCAGATGAATTGCCAGCAGCTGCCAACTGCTGGGCTTCAAGCTTACGTGCTTGATGCTTCCGCCAAATGGTAACATAGTTCCGCAGATACACATATTCAAAGACGTCAGTCTTTTGCTCTCATCTGTACACATTGTCCACACTTCCGATCCACAGCTTAGTGCCGATGCAACGCATCATTATGTATCGCATACTTTATTCTTGCCAATATTCCACCATCGGTACTATTGGCCGGTACGTTGAAAAACCACAACTGACCCTACTTGTACGCACCTTGTCCTCTAAGTGTTTAGGTCATCAGAACCGGTTGGGGACAGAGTGACAACGGTGGGAATCCGTTGCGTATTGGCTTTCTTTCGTCAGCATCTCGCTACTGGAAGGCACAAAACATATGTCGAAACATACAGCGCTGTCCCACAATCTTCCCAGTCGCACTTTCAATAAGTGTGTATATGATCATCCTGAACCATGCAATGCGTACACTTCAAGTTTGTCATTCGTTCACAGCTTCAACTCCAAGATCATTCTGGTTTCGATCACGAGTTTTATACGGAATTTTTTGGTCTGGTACACCCCACTTATCGCGGAAAACCCTGGCAATTCTACCATACCTCTGTTCTGACTATCATACACTGATCTTGCACTTCCATTTTATACGAAATTGTATTTGCTCATTGATTTCGTTAGCTTCGGGAGATAACTTTCTCTGCTTCTTATTTCTATATTTTGGTAGCTATCAAATTACCTGTTCGTTTTCGTATTGATCACAAAATGATCTGGCGATTTCCGTTGTCCATCTTTCAGCTCGATTTATCTCAGGAGCCAGTTTTTGACAAAGAGGGGCTACAGTCGGATTCAGTAGCGCCTTCCTCTGAACTAAGTTCTTGCAGCGCCGTTCTCTCTGACTCACACCACGCTTCTGCCTCTTGTGACGCTGAATGCCTCCTTGGTCGCAACGCCCAACTTTTCCATGCAGAATACCTCTCTTCGCATCTCGTCGACGCTACGACCTGCCTTTCTCCCAAGCGCATGGAACAGGAGCCAAGGAAAAGGCAACGGGGATTAATCAAAGTCATGAGGGTTACTTCTGAGTCCTTACCAGTATGCCCATTGTCTCATAACGTTTCAGATCACCCTATTTCCATGTCTATGACTTCATTACCCCGTGTACACTCCATTGTCCGCTGCAGTGTGCTTCACTCACCTCGGTAACTATGTTGAACAATGTCGTTGGGGGTCCCCCTTGCATCTTGAACGCATAAATATTATGTTTCCTACATCCTCTGGCTTCCGGTGCCAATGATGTTGCTTGATTTTTCCGCTAGTCCGCTTTATGCTTATCCTCTGCCGGGTGATGCTCGACATCATCCTTACCCCGGTTTCCACAGCCCTTAGATCTTTCGGAATTTCAATATTTACTCGCCTGTTGAACCTCTTACCGCTATTTGTTGTGTAAGCTGCTGAATCTGTTGCGCCTATTTAATGTCACCTTTCAGTGTACACACAGTTGTGCTCTTCTCATCTCTACGCTCACTGCGTTCTGCTGTCATGGCTTAGTTTTTCGCAACATCATCAACCGCCTGAAATTTTTCTGTTATTTATCTGCATTTGCTCTTTTCACTTCTACCTCACTCTGGTATACAAACTAAAGTATATCCTTTCGATTGTTTCCCCTAATTTGCTAGTTTTTACACCGTTCGAAAGAATCAAAACCATTCAGTTTGGACATTATGTCGTATTCGTGGACCATTCTTCAGCTGCTCCCACTGATCATCTTTTAGTCACAATTACCTAGGAAATACGTCTTCCCCCTTCCCCCATTCTTCGCATAGATTGGTACTCGTCGAATACATCTTTGCTCTCTTAGCCTGAATTCATCGTGTACCACTAAAGCTTCTGATTACTTGGAATAGAAAAATCCAACACCCGCACCTCTCGTTTGCAAACATTTGGGGTCCTAAAAATTACCCAACAATTTTTACTTCGTTTCTTACGAGTGAATCTTATTTGTTTCTTCACCTTGCTAACACGTCATACGGGTTAATTTTCAACCTCTTATGTTTTTTCGTCAGTGCATTTTAAGGTAAACGTCTTTTCAATGTAATTACTTCGAAGAAATGAAGCGCCCGTTTTTTAAGTTTTATGTTATTCTATTTCCCGACTATCTCGGAGCGTAAGGAGGAAAGCTGAACTTGATAAGATGTAATACTGGCGCCAAGATTGGACTCGTGAACCGTACGTATGACTTCAGCCTGTTCTCACTAAACTGACCGACCGAGCAGGTAAAGTTGGCTGCAGATTATGCAGCTGAGAATGGCTATCGGACTACGGCACCCACAGTCGGGTCGTGGGCAAATTGCAATACGCCTTCCACATCCCCACTCATTATTCCTGTATCTGATACACGCACAGAATGAATAAAATTGGAATGCACAAGCATGCTATGGCTGTAACTGATTGGTAACGCGAACCGGCCTGTTGCGCATCCAGCGGACATCCGCGTACAATTTTGTAGCTAAGCCAAATAGATAACATACTTCTCATTCAACCGAAATTCATGTTTAATTCCTTCTTGTATGAACTGGGTTAATAGCTGAAGCCGGCTGACCCTAGTAGAGACGTGCGAAAGGTGGATCTGTGCCAGTGCAGGCCCGTTAGTGGCTCAGATCCGAGACCAAACAATAGCTTGTGAAAATGACCAAAAGCCGGTGTGTGTTGTTTGACAGTGTTACATGTGTGTCGTCCGCTAAGCCGATGATCAAACACAGACACATACAGATCGATCGACCGATAGCTGATTCGTCCACTCTTTTTCATTGTGCTGATTGGTTCCTTTTCGACTTATTCATCTGGTGTAACCTACAAGCTATCTATTACAGCTTTTGACACGTCCCATCCGGTGTGTGTTCTTATTCACTTCTTGCGCGGACTAAGGGTCCAGGTGCGATCCAGCAATACTCGAGTAATACGTATCAGACAGCTTGTATGACCTCTATTCATCAGTGATAGATTTTGGTTACCGCTTCTTCTTGTCCTGACTATTCACGTGCAACACGCTACTAACCAAGACTCGCCCCCACAATTCCTCAACATCGATAGAAATCTCACAGCCTCACAATACCTAGTGATTGCACATGGTATATGCTATGAAGGCACATACCTATTTCAGGAACATTTATTCCGTAGGAAATCGAGGATACCTGGTCTCTCAGTGTTGAGCAAACAAGGATGAATTCGCACTAGTAGCAGCTTGGGTGAACTGATAGAGTTCACCTTATTACATGCTCAAATCGTTAAATCACAATTGAGAAATTTCATGCAGGCATTTCCCTTCACGAATTTCAATAAAGCAAGAAGAAAACTTTTAACAGCATTTACTGAATTCAGCAATTTCGCGTATTCTCAGCTGTTTACATACAATTAATGGAATACAGAGGCTACATAGCAGACAATCAAAATGCTATGTTAAGGGCAAAATATCCGAGGCGGTCGAAGGCCCTTAGGCTCACGTGACTCGTTCCGAGGAAAACTCGATCACTAGCCTCACTAGGGAAGGGCTAGCGTCGCCACGAAATTCGCTTGCTTGCACAGATTTGGTTTCAACTGCTGAATTGCTGACTCCTCCGCAAACTGAAGTAAGTAGCTTGTTTGCTAACTACCCTGAAATTTCAAAATAGCAAAAAGAAAAAACATTTAACAAAATACGCTGAATTCAGGTATTTCGAGTGTTCTCGTCAGCTGTTTACACACATTGGTGCAATTATCGCGTTGCGTACAAAAGCGGAAGCAATGTACAAGGACATTCAGTTAAAAGGACAAGGATCAATAACCTCACCAAGGTAGAGCGAGGCTGGCCGTAAGTTCAGTCTGCTTGCACAAATTGGGCTTAAGCTGCCGAATAGCTGAGGCTTCGGCAAACTGAAGCAATCGGGCATTGCTCTGTAGGTTAATTACTTTAAACAATTCACGAGGACGTTGGCACGTTGTGCAATCCAGGACGTGTTGAGCAATAGAGCTAGCCGGCAGTTTGGGACCGTTAGCGACCATGTTTCGTGGAATGTGCTCTGAAATCCTCTAAGTTCGGCCAAAGTACTTTCTATCACAAGTACAGTGGAATAGGTAAACACAAGAGGCGGTAACGAGAAAGTGTGGCTTGTGCAGGTTGGATTTGCAGAGCAACTTCCTAACTTGGTGCAATAACACCAATTCGGATGTGTACTAATCTTTCCCAACTGCCTGGCGGAAACGGTACTGGAATCTTCTATCGTTTTGACCGCCTTTAAATGGCAGCGTAATGAACTCTTCTGCGCTTGCATACCGAGCTATGAATCTTGCGGGGTATCCATTTTCCTGTAGTGTTGATGACACGAGTTCTACTTCACTGTCCATCCCTGAAATTGCTACGTGGGTTTTGGCATTCAGGGCAATAGAGCTAGTCGGTAGCTTCGGGCCATTAACAGTCATGTTTCGCGGAACATGCTCTGCAATCCTCGCTGACAACCTTCTCTCAGTTCAACCTATGTACTTGCCACCGCAAGTACAATTAAAGAGGTAAATGCATGAGGCGATAACTTGAGAGTCCGGTCTATCCAGGTTGGATTTACAGAGCAACCTTCTGACTTGTTGCAATACCACTAGCTCAGCCGCATAGTAACACTTCTTAATCGATTGACGGAGGCGATGCCGGCATCTGCTGTCAACTTGATCTCTTTTGAACGGCAGTGTAATGAATCCCTTTCTTGATGTTTCTTCTTGCTTTATTGAAATTCGTGAAATCACTGCTAAGCATCACTGTAAATGGGGATGGAAATAAAGCCAGCGAGACTCCTTACGGCAGCGCAACAAACCGTTTGCATAGCCATCACGTAGCTGACATATATCAGCCTAACAATTCCGTTCAGCTGAACTGTGACTCATAGTGGCAATACTCGAACAGTGACTCCAATTTTGACATCAATTGCTAGCCTCACGTCACAATTGGTAGCTTTCTCCGCCCCCCTTCAGCGAACTTGCGAACATAATCTAGCAACAGTCAGTGGATGCCGCTTATGTCATCCTGTTCATCTACTGCCTCCCAGTGTGACGCCCACGAACTCGGTAAGCATCAATAATCACGCGAGATTGTGCCCATGATAAGGGGCACAGGTCACTATTTACACAATATACATTTCCATACGTGTAGATTACCAGTGGAAATGGTTAAAGTGTACCATTTCGCCGTCAATATCGTAGATATCCTAGAGGGTTTGAGAAATCGACGTCGTAGTTCTCGCTTTCCACGTCCACTATGATTTGTAACATACGGTTTTGACATTATTGTCATCTTCCTGATCACTTGCGGATAGTTGTTTCGTCCTCCATCTTTTTGTCACTGAAGACCACATTGTGCGTTCAGGTGAATGCAATTTGGAGTGTTGATATGGATTTGAAAGTGAAATGCACGTTATTGCCTTACTTAAACTGGATCCGCGTGTCGGTATTGCAGACTAACCAGAAGATAGAAACGAATGGACCTTTTGTTTTCAGTGACAACATGCGGTATATGCAAGCGAATATAGGCAAGCAATGGGCTAAGAATGAAGGTAAGACGAAACTCGGTTTAATTTACCTTTTCCGTTTCCAAGTGGACATAAAAGCTGCAATCTAGGGCTAGTCGGGTGAGAACGTTGGACGCAAATAAAGCGAGAATGAAAAAAGTTAAGCGAAGAACAAATTGTGACTCTACGACATGTCATCGCGTATTTTCTGACACAGGTGTCATGATATATCGTCATTTCGGGCAACAAGAGGGCAGAGATGAGTGTAGGCAGGGATTTGATTCGTCCAAATTATCGGAGTGCATCTGGTTTTCATAGGCACACCGTAGGTCTTTGAGCTGAGGGAACAGAAATTAACCAAACGAGATTAGCCCATAGTATCAGCATGGTTTTCAAACATTCCAGCGCGTGTATTTTCACATTCTCATTGTGCTTCTTTCAGCCATTGGCGTAAGAATACAATATATGTGGCAAAAAATGCGTTTTGGTGAAGTTCACGTTATTTGCCTATATGGCATCGTGTCCTTCGCAGTTTCCACCATAGAGACCAGCCGAGGCGTTGAGAAAGCGCGTTGATCGATTCAATAGTGTATGATAGATAAAAACAGTAGATTTACCAGACTCGCAGGATGGCAAATGCTAATGCAATCAAAATCAGTGTCTCGGAGTGGAACGTGCAATAACAGTGGTCCAGACACTGCACTTTATTATACTGTTATATATTCATCACTTAGATGAAGGTCCTATAATCTTTCGAATGTCGCGATGTTTGGTGCGTTCACCACGTGTTAACAGCGTATGCGCGTGGGAGGCAAAAAAGGCACTAACAGTACGCCCGTACGCGGTACCGACGCTTCGCTGTCGCACGAGTGCTAAGGATACTGCAAGGGTCGGCCGGTCCCCTACGCAGACTCAACTGTTGTTTCGACACCATGCGTGGCTCGCATTCGACTGATGTGGTTTTCATTTCGATCGGAGTTACTACTCGTAAGCCTGCGTCCAATCTCCCAACTGAGTGCATAGCAAGAGAGCAGGCCGGTACTAGCGAAACTTTGATTACGGTTGCTTCCAAGAAGAGAAGCATCCCCAACTGAATCGGAAACTGATGAGCGAAACAGAGTTCTGCTGATGCAAGCACCAGCGGTTTCCTGCAGTACATCCCCCGAGTATTTCAATCACTGCCCGTGAAATGCCTAATGATACAAAGAAACAACAACCTGTAGTGAGCATCAATCAGTATTAACAACAGCAGTATATCAGTCATTTGAACTGATGCTTCGCTACCATACAACCATGATGATCTATTGAATAACGAATAATAAGAGGGAGAGAAGGGAGATTTATCAGAAAACCTTAATGCCCTAAGCAAACATTCAGGATCAGGACACCTACACCTTGTGTTTATAACCTACCGTCACAAACAGCTGGCTATCGTGCAAAGATAAGGTGGCATCGGCGAGACAAATTTCTTGCAGCTTTCACTGTCCCACGTCATAATCAGCCATTACCCCGCAGATAATTCGGCACCAAACACACTGTAAACAGGCAGTCCGACTAGGAGACGGCAGCAGACGCCCCACTGGTGTCGGCTGCAAGCTAACTCCT